CATGAATGGATAAACAAGCAGTGATGGGAGATGCAACTCTGGATGGAATAGTCCGGAGAGATTGAACGTACTACAGTGGAAAGGAAAGAGCGTCACAGTCAAGGATAGCATCAGTGACGAGCTGAAATGGAGGAAAATGCAGTTCTAGTAAACGAACGCGTTTAAAAGGGAATGAATTCGTTCAGAAGCACCACTCCCAACACCTCCACGAGGGATTGAATGTTCGTATTGTAAGATGGCGGAAGGCAGTGAACACTCGTGAGCCGCAACAACAACAAAAACGGGCTAGTAGAGAATCAAAAGCGGCCGCAATGGATCATACGGGACAAGACTCTGCGCGTATTGCGGATCGAGCCGACAGCGGATCATGGACGGTATCTGGTAACAAGCCTGGGCCCAAAACAATAGAGGAGATATTTGTCAAGAACGCAATGAATCAGACAAATACGGCGCTAGAGAAGCCCACAGGATTGAACGCGGGTCGAGTGATGCAGCCACGAGAGAGCAAATCGCGAGCTTTCGAAGGATTCATGGCCGGCCAGAATTGGATGTAACGCAGCGGAGATACGGGATGGAAAGTTGGAGGAGTTGTCTCGAAACCCAACCTCGTAGGCACCTGGAATGGTCCGTCACACAATCCTCATCCGCGTTGCGTTGTGGGAAGGAAGGACGGTCCAAATCTGTACTGGTTTATGAGTTGTCAGCGACACGTTCTTGTTACAACGCTCGCTCTGTCCCTACTCCGCGTCGTTTTTGCTACACTGATGCCGTGACCAATCAGGATGAAGTTGACCTGGTCAGCACAATTAGCGCACCGAGACGTAGAATTCTGGCTCGATGAATTTGAGGCCATCGGTGCATGCAACGGAGTCAAAGGTGACGCCAATTTGCTACTGCTTTGGGCATGCTGTTGGATGGAAGAGCGAAGGCGGTGTATTTGCTCGCTCGGAAGGCCAATGCCGGCTGTTCATTCGCTGAGATGAGGGCGGCATTGTGCGCCGAATTTGGGAATGAAGACGATAGACAGCGAGCAATGGAGCAATTTCCCTCAACCAGATACGACGAACAGGAGGATTTGATTGTGTTTTACCAGCAGCTGGACAGACGTTTGGCGATTGGGCTCCCCGAATTGGAGGGTAACGCAAGAGAACTGCTACTCACACATCAATTTGTGCGAAGCCTGCGGAACCCACTCCGACAAGGTAAAGTTGCCGGCGATGGTTGGAGAGAGTAGGGCAGAGGAGCTGGTGTCGGTTGCCCAGAATTTTTCGGAGCGAGTAAATCTGAAGAGAGTAGAGCATTCTGAGTTGGAACACAGAGTAAACCAACTGTCCGGAATAGTGGAGAAGCTGTTGTCGAGGGAGACTCCGACAGGGATTTCACAACGCAATGGACATGGAAGCCGGAACGGTCTCCGCTGTTTCCGTTGCAACCAGCTGGGTCATGTGGCTAGATCCTGCACCAACAACAATTTGTACCATTGTTTCTCTCTATCCCGGCCGAGTAGGTGGCGTGTACCAGTCGTCAGGATGATTAATGAAGGTGTGTCGGTCCGGGCCATAGTGGACACGGTAGCGGGAGTGTCCATTACGAAAAGATTCGAAGGAGTTCCAGTAACTTAGTCCTCGATCGTGATGCAGACCGTCGGTGGATATCGTGTGACGGTGACGGACACACACTGGTTGCGACGCAGGATAGGGGAAACGCTTGTCAGCCGTGCCATGTTCATCTTGGAGGAGACCACCGATACAATCAACGGCAACGACATCCTCAAACGACTCGGTGCCACCATTGATCTGAGAAACGATTTGGTAACCGTAGACAACGAGACTGGGACAGCCGATTGATTGGGTGTCGTCAAGGTGCTGCCTGACAGCAGTCAGGCTGAAATACGGTGTTTACTGAGCAAGTATGTCCAACCTATTCACGAACACAGTTGGTGCTTGCGGCTTCTGCAGCTGGGTGGAACATCGAGGACCATTAATGCCTGGGGGCAGTGCAAGCTGATCTTCAGGATAATACGGCAGAATACGCTGACGGAAATACAAAAACAGATATTAGAGATGGAGGCGAACACACAGTGCGTATTCATCACCCTTGCTACTGACGAAATAGACCAACCGTGTAACGTACTGATCGGGTATTCCTAACCCGTGTATGGACCCGTAGTCCGTTTAGATGTAGGAAAAGCACCAACACTGGACGGTAGGTGTGAAACTGTACTCTGCTGCTAACCGAAGCCAAGTGAAAACATATAGGACCAAAACGAGCCAAAGAGAAACAGGGACCAATCAGCGAATGAATATTAGCCTTGTGATTGTGCGCGTGTAGCTAGTGGGTAGGGCATGACGCATCGGTAGTTGATGTCCATAACAACCCTTAACATGGCAGGTAAAATCAGGCTTGTAAATGCGACGTTCTATTAGTCGCGGTGAATGTCGTGGTCTTCGAACAGTGACCGACAGATCAGCTTCATCCAGTTGGGTTTTGTCAGTCCTCTCAATTTGTATTTTTATCAACAGTTCCATCCTCGGGGTCTAATACCGCGGATGCGCGGTGCCGAATAATCTCGTTGTGCTGGCGCACGGTTGCTCCGATTTCCAGCTGCATATCAGCTTCCGTTCGTGGACTGGCTAATACGGTTCCGGGCTACCATATCGGCTCATGTGGGAGTTTCGTATACCTATCCTGTTTCGGTAACAGACTCGGCTTTATCGCGTATGTGTCCACTCTGGTGCATTCGCTGTTGTTGGAAACGCCTGGTTTGACGGGGGTCTGGAAACAAAACATCTTACGTTGTGCGTAGGGGACGCCTATACATGACCTTCTCAGGACTTCTGCCGATGGGTATGACATGATAAGCGAACAGCAGTCAATCTACTTCAGGAGACCGACCTTCAGAGTTTGTACTGCTCTCACTGCCAAACCATTGGATTCTGGATGATATGGTGTAGAAGTCATATTGTGGAGGCCGTTACTCTGTAGATACTGCTCAAAAGCTGCACCTGTAAATTGTGGACCGTTATCGGTAACTAAAGTTGTTGGCATACCTTATGAGAATAGGCTGGTGCGCACTTTATTAATTGTAGTCTCCGAAATAGTGTTGAGGAGAATATGTACATCTATCCATTTTGAGTACCCATCCACCAGGAGTAGTAGCATTTTTCTTTCAATTGGACCGAAATAGTTTGCATGAACATGCTCCCAAGGACCATCAGATAACTCCCAGGGGTGAATCGGACTGGCTGGTTTGTCTTTCTGGTATTGTTGACATATAGCACATGCGTTCAACAGGACTTCGATATCACGATCAATTTCCGGCCACCAACAGTAGGCTCTGGCCAGGAATTTTCATGCGGACGACTCCTGGATGAGCATCATGTAATTTTCTCAATACGGCTGATCTGAGAGCAGATGGAATAACGATACGAGATCCACGCATGATACATCATCCTTCATGCAGACTGAGCTCTAACCGGCAATTGAAGAATGGACGTAGGACCTTAGTGGATCGGGAATCCCAACCACGTGACATCATACATTTCACAGTCGACAGGACCGGGTCTCGGTCTGTAGGTCTCCTAACCATGTCGCTGGATATTGGAATGGTGTCTAAGTGATGTAATAACTGGACGAACTCGCAAGGCGCTCCACCTTGCTCGTTACTTTGCACTTCCCGTGGCAATTTACTAAGGGCATCGGCTACAGTATTGTGGGAACCAGAGATGTATGGAATTCGATAGTTGCAAACGGTAAGGATGAGGGCCAAGCGTACCATACGGGATGCATTAATTTGTCCTGTACCTCGTCCCTCCCCAAGCAACGAAATCAGTGGTTAATGATCGGTCTGCATCTCAAACCGATTGCCCCACAAGTACCGATGGAAGCGCTTAACTCCAGATATTACAGACAGGGCCTCTTTGTCCAGTTGTACGTGATTTTTCTCAGCGGCCTATAGTGTTCGGGATGCGAAAGCAACAGGACGGATAGTTCTATCGTGAATCTGTTGTCCTAAGACTGCTCCCACTCCAAACCGTGAGGCATCACGTTGTAAGGCTAGAGATTTTTTTGGATCATAATATGCTAGTGCGGGTGAAGAAACAAGTAGATGCTTCGCCTTCAAAAATGCTTGTTCCTCTGTCCTTATCCATGACCACTTGGAATCTTACTGCTTAATGTATTTAACCTTTAATGCGCAATGGGGAGTAAGCTATTCACTGGAA